CGAATTGCCTCTTGCAAACTACTAGCTCTGATATCTCCTACTGGACTTGTACCCGCATCTGTGAGGAAAAGAATTGGAATACTCGGTTGCTTAAATGACAACAATAGACAAATATCTGGATTGAACGAACTGAAGATGACCTTGCGCTTTTGTTTCATGTCGTAAACTTTTGCAAGAACAGTATCACAGAAACTATTAAGTTCCACAGCATAAGTGTCCATTTCTTGTTCTTCCGTTTCGTGAAGCATAGGATACTTCATCTCGACATTGAATCCGACATTTTGGGGAAGTTCTCGGAACATCTCTTCGAGGGTTGTGAATGGTGCTTGAATAAAGTTTCCACGGGTATTGCCTTTGTATCCCTTTTCTTTGAAATCGCGAGTGTGTTTCATTCTTTCTGCCATGTCATTTTCGAACTCTCCTTGGCCTAGTGATAACGATCTTTGACGATCCATACCTCTTTTAATGGCATGAACTCGTGGGGAATCTTTTGGAGGAGATGGAGGACGTGTTGAACGAGATGTCGTCTCATTTACATGAAGAAATTGCTCCAATGTTAACGTATGAACTGGTGCATCAATACCGGTTTCGGAAACAAGAAAATCATGATAGATGACTGGAACGTGATCTTTTGTGAGCTGCACATCGAATTCGACGTAATTTGCTCCAAGATTGGCGGCTGCGATGAAAGACTGTAGAGTATTTTCACCGAGTTGGAGTGATTTATTTGCAGAAGTATTCTTGCCAAGACCTCTGTGGCCAATAACCATTGTTGAAGACAACTCTTTCCAATATGTTTGTTGCGCGGTGATTCCCATTTCTGGATGCGAGAATGGTGTAATGACAAGGAAGTTGAAGTTTACAGTTCCAATATCTTCCAGAGTGTCTTTGGAAATTATTGGTACAGTGACATCTCCTTGAAGATTCATGCGCTTCAGTCCAATCGTTGGCCTAATACTAGACAGAATTGCCATTCCTCTTCCAATCTTATGCTTTTCGCTACCAGCATATGTTGGTACGATATCGAAGTATAACTTAACATTGGAGGCGTCGAGAGTCGTGAATACAATAGGGTCGGTAGAAATATTATCGTGAATAGGAAGATCAATGATCGTAGGTTCGCCTGTGGCTCCTTTTGCTGAAACTACAATCGACAGAGCAGTGTCGAGTTGAGTAGAATGAGCTTCCGAGATAGGAATATTCTCCAACTTGACGGCAGCAATATTCTTTCTCATATCCATTGAACCCAGACTGACAAGAACCATACTTTCGTTTGTAAGATATCGATGCCCAAAAGTCTTGACGGGCTCAGTGATTCGAGGAGAGTTTGTGCTCTGTGATCGGAATGTTTCGATCGAAGAATGATTTGGTGGGGATGAACTGCCACTGTCTGCAGACTTTTCACTCCCAGAATTACCTCTCTCCGACTCAACCTCTGCCAATCTCTCTGCAATATCCATATGACCCCTCAAAGCTGCATGCTCTCTAGCTGTCCATCCTCCGGCATCAGCTTTAGAGAGATCGGCGCCAGCTGATATCAGTAGCTCCACAATACCAAGGTGGCCATCAACACAAGCAACATGTAATGGTGTCCATGAGTAGACCTTTTCGGTAAGTTCAAAATCGGCTTTTTGATCTACTGTTCCTTGGATAAGAATGTCCGCACACTCCTCATGACCAGTTCGTGCTGCGATATGCAATGCAGTCTCATCATTCGAGTTTGCATCTTTCCAATTGATATCAACTCCGGCATCGACAAGTAGTCTAACAATTTTCTTGAAGTTAGACTTTGTAGCCAAAGCAAGAACTGCACTTGACTTCGCAATATCACGTCTCATAGCAGCTTTTTTGTCGCTGGTACCCTCCCAATTTTCACCGTCAAGAAGAGCTTTGGTCGTCAAAGCATGGCCACCAATCACACTAAGATGAAGGGGTGCCAAGCCATCATTATCTTGCCATTCCGGTGCATCGATTCCGTTTTCGACATTGAATTGGCCCCAAGTCTGCATAAACTTCATAACTAATTGACAAATGACAACAAAGCCGAATTCAGCAGCATAATGTAGCGGAAGACGACCGTAAGAATCTTTGCCACTTAATGCTGATCTTTGATGGGGTTCCAAGTTAGTCAACACAAAAGACAGAAGTTTGACGGACTCATCTTCTAGACTCAGAAGTGTTGATTCTTGAAGTTTTTTCGAATTTGGCCCTGGGCTAGGCGAAAGGGCCGGCGTGATGAATCTAACGCGATCCACATCCATGAAAGAAACGCTCTCTGGTTCCTTCTCTTGTGACTTTGCGGCAATCTTTGAACGGCTGATGGAAATAACCAGACGATGAATACAGTTGCGGGCATTGATATCATCCGGTTCATCTAAGGAGTTTATCTTCTTCAAAAAGTAAAGAATTGCGTTCTTGGACTTGCAAGATATGGATCGTTGCAATAAGTTCAAAAACAGCTTTTGCATCGATCGATCACCGGCGTCAAAACCAGCCTCTGCAATCGCTTCCTTCAAGGTCGGAACATCATCAGCTCTAATTGCTTGATCGACCGTATCAACCAACCCACTGGGTAAATTGAGAATTGTTCTCGATGACACTCTCTTGATTGAGTGAGCGGAATGAACCGAAAGCGCGTCGTCGTTGATATTCTTCTCCCCCAAGACTGCAATCCAATCATTTGTCGTTTTCATAGCTTTGGATAGAGCAAAGTTTGCAGCAAAAGGCTTCAAATCCACCTTCGAAGCCATGTATCTCGCTTGGGTACAAACATTTGCGACCTTCTTATCCAATTTCTTGGTAATCTTGAGGAAACCTTTACGATTTACCTCACCAAACCACTGTAACTTTCTCAATTGAGATCTGAGCTCGAGAAGAGCTCCCAATAGCTCTTCGACTTCATTGCGATCTAGCCCTTGTGTGGTATAAACTTTTGCATCGCTATATCGTTGTTGGAGGAGATTAAGTCTGCGGGAAGCATCATAGAATTTCTTGTTATAAAACGCGTCAACATCTTCGAGATTTCGATCGAGCGAGAAAAAGAATTCTGGAATCGGAATCAGTTAAGGAATGCAAAATATGTTGCGAATGACGTAATAGACGTACCTGCTAAATCAACACTTTTTCCATCCTTCGCGGCGTTCGCAGCAGCTTTGATAAGCTTCTTCAAGCCCTTGTAGTTGATGTACGAAGATGACCATTCTGGGACCTGAGAAGCAGGTAAACTAGAAGCATATGAGTACTGTGAATAGCTTCATATCAAGAGGAGAAAGGACTTACGTGCGTCCGAACTTCATGGTGTGAGAGTCTGAATTGTACAGAATCTGTATGTAGTTTTGTAATGATTTGCGCAAGATTTGTAGCACAAGCAAAAATAAAGGTAATGATTAAAGAAATCAAACCACCTGGGTTATCTCATAGAAATTGAAATGCAGCTCCGTTGATCAAACAATAGTTGCTCTATGTGATCCATTCAGTCGCTTTCTCGATTCCTTTATGAATATTCGGCGGACGGGGATCCGTAAGAGAATTTAGCCGTAATGATGACCAAAATCGAAGGATATTCTGAGTCGATTCTCCTTTTCTGTAGTAATCAATCTCTTCGATTGTAAAATGTTCACTGTGGTTAAGGTGCAATGAATATATCCACGTTTTGTGAAATAGTTTTGGATTCGTCAGAATTCTGCCTTTTGATAGCGGGGCGGTGTGGATAGCTTGAGTGGTGTTATCAAAAACGGTGTGTAGGAATAAGCTCGGATATTAATAGACTAGTACTAGGTACCAGAAGTCTCTCCCCCTTTATGGATCTTGAATGAGCACCTGGACAAAAGGTCTTGTGTTCTTTTCCTCCTCGGACTCGAGTAAAGAAAAGGGGGTTCACACAAATAAATTTTTAGAAAAGAGAACAATTCAATCAAAGATTCAAGCCCTCAAGGGTTTTCTTTCATGTTTTAAATATTTCACATCGCCAGGATGCTCACGGCACATTAGTCCCACCAACGCATGCGGACTTCAATGAAAATCATCATTGGTTTATCGACCGGACTTTTAATTGATATACGGTAAGGTACTTTTCCCCATAATCCAGGGTAATGCCAAGGTAGCCAAGGGCTTGACCCTGCAGCAGACCATCTAGAGAGTTACAATGCTTTCTTTCCCGGTTGTGCATATGCATTTCTCTTCCTTTGGTGGCTTCCTGGGGCTGGATATGTTGTAGAACGGCGGACATCAAGACCATATGATTTATATAGAAATGTGTGCTGGCTACCGGGCTTACCGAAATCGTTACGCATAGTTTAGTAATTTGGCATGCATGGAGTTGTATCCAATTCAAGATTGATTCCTTGTATGAATCATTGAAAGTTTTTTAAAGAGACTTGCTCAAAAACTGGAGTAGGGGGGGTACTTGACTCGAATATCATTATTAACTTTTTGTTCCGTGTACACCGCATCTATTTATAAACGCCACATGACAGCGGAAAGGTAGATCAAGGGACCAAAGTTTGTGGATCTAACAGATCTTTGTAAAACTTCTATCCATTAATCATTTACCAGTCCCATGGAATTGGTCGTCGAGATCTGGTCGAGAAAAATACTTAACGACTTGTGATCAAACGCATAGACCGAATGAGATTCGAAAACGTCTAATTTGGAGCAAAAGCCATTTTAGGGGTCTTACCCCGGACTATTTGAGAATGATAATGAAACATTCAAGGCTCACACCGACTAATTGAGTAGTACTGGCATAGGTTAGCTATGTCGGTTTCTTCTCCAATGCATGATCTGATATAGACCCGAGTGGTCAACTGCACATATTAAATTCGAGATACCGAGAAGTCGCCACATAATGCTCGACATCTGTAACGCATTGCATCAACATCAACATCACATAAAACGGCAATGCACACTGTACCTCAAGCAATGATTGCTGTAAGACTGCGATTTGCGGGCGATGAAAGCAAGTGGGGTATCTTATCATGGAGAGGTTTTGTAACAACGAATTAATGCCAACCACCTCTTCCTCTGCCCCTACCACCCCCTCTACCACCCCCTCGATGTCCACGTCCTCCTCCGAACCCTCCTCCACCACCTCTTCCTCCTCGGCCTCTTCCTCCTCCTCTACCGCCAAATCCTCCATCTCTTCGTTCTTCCACTGGTAGTGGTCCATTTTGCATTCTGATCTGCTTTTCCTCATCGGAAGCGTAGAATTTATTTTCCATCCCGAGGAGATCGCAAAATTCTTGCATTTGAGGGTTATTATATTCCACCGGGCCTTCGTTCACTATTTCGGGCATGCCCTCAAAGAAAGGTGGTGCTGTGATTACGAAGTTCTCGGGAATCTCTAGTTTATTTTGCTGAACAATGTGCTCATCGACCCATGCTTGCTCTTTTTCAATCAGAGTTCTATAATGATCCTCTCCCTTATCCTCGGGAAACTTGCTGGCTTTATCCCCTAGAATAAGACCGCTGTTGAAGGCTCGTGTAATAGCTAACCATTCAGGATCATATTCAAACTTTGGTTGAGCTCGCGGAGTAGATGTCGAAATCGTATCCGAGCTATCATAGGGCCGTACCTTTAGGAGCTGTAGAAATTTTCGACCTGGTAAACACTTATCTAGAGCCAGAAAGCGAACTGCTTTGTTTGTGATTTTGGGTGGTGTTGGCTGTCCTGGCTGTACCCTAGGCTCTCGATGAGCTGAAGGTGCTGGTTTTGAGAAAGCAGCTGGTAATTGGGCTTGGATATCAGATGGGACTGATGACGGGATAGATTCTTCTGTGGCTGTTGATGTTTGCTTGCTTTCAGTATTGACCGTTGTGGTAGCAACATGCCTTGGTGTATCCGTAACTGATGGGCTATCATCATCATCCATATCAAGGTCAATCTCATCATCATTATGTGGTACTATAGACTGTTTCTCTGTTGCATCGTCGATGTCGACTGGGGGTGCGACTTCGGTAGTTTTGACTTCTTCCTTTGGTTCCTCCGCAGCGTTTGGTTTTTGAGCGTCCTCGTAAGTTTTCACCGCAGAGTATTTACAGTGCAAATGCGCGGCAAACCAATAAGGCGGCCTAAGACGATCCATGACATAACTCGCGGCCAAATTCCCCAGTGATCCGTCATTAGATTCTCTCTCGAAATCTGGTTTCATATTCCACAACATCTTCGTATTTCCATGCTTCTCAACAGCTCTCGGCCAATCATGACTGATCCCAATATCAACCTGGGTTCCTACTTGTAGTAACTTTCTGATATCGTATTCGCGAACATGGTATATCGATTTGACATCATCCTGGTTGTATGGCAATCGTTCATAATGACTTTTGTTGTAATTGTAACCCTTCCAAATTCCACTCATACCAGCGATTCGCACTCCGCCTAATCGTACCACATTTGCAGCGCCCATATAGTAGATGTTCGGCGCAACCCATCCTCCATAATAAAGCTCCCATAAATGACTGCTAGCTTCGTGATTGCCGCCAACGAAAATGGTGAGGTATGGGGCTTTCTTGAGTCCGCTATAATATGCGTGAAAATCGCCGATTTCTCGATATTTGACTGGGCATGACATTACTGTAAGATCATTTGCGTTTCTTACTGCCTGGAATAGTCAGCAGGAGAATTTTATTGTGAACTACAAGGGATTCTGTCGTACCTGGAAGTCCCCTCCAATTATGAGGAGATCAACGCCATCCCAACCTCGAGCTTCGCAAGCTTTCTCTATTGAAGAATATATTGCATTGAGAGTGCCATGGCCCTATTGGAAGATTCAGCAGAATGGCAAAGTAGATTGATCAAAATGCCTTAAAACTTACGCATCCCTCTACAGCGACGCGCAAACCATTTACTTCTTGAACGGAGGCAGCCATTTTGGGCAGTCCTTTAGATGTCTTCTTGCTAGAATAATTACGAGTAATTATGTAGCTGTAGCTTCTTCCATTGCACAGACAAGGTGATTTTCGTATTCGCACAATGTTTCGCAGACGATTACTGTTGAGAAATAATTTCATTTCATCAGTTCGCTTGCTTGCTTTGGTCTAATATGTAAGGTTATCTCTCAAGCGCAAACCGAAAATCATAATTTCTCATAATTTCTCTTCACACACAACGCGTCATAATTTCAAAGATCCGATTCTCCATAACACCTCATAAGAGACATGGCAGATTTAGAATTAGCGGCGCGTCTACGATATTTGAACGAGTCGGCACATTTCCTGGCAAAATGGGCACCTACGACATCAAAATATCTAGTGTCGCAATGCAATTCTCTAATGTTTGATCACGAAATTGAACAACCGGATTTGTCAAAACGAGGATCATGCAGTGCTTGTGGGACTATTATGATATTGGGATCCGAAGGCAAATTGGAAGTCAAGTCGCAAAGCTTTAAAAAGAAGCCGATTCGAAAAAGAGCAAAAGGAGCCTCTCGTGTGGAAAAGGCGATGATATATACATGTGGTTCTTGTACCAAGGTGACCAGACATCGCTTGGATTCAGCTCCTGTGGCATCTAGGTCTAAGAACGGTGCAGTTCAGCATGGAGCTGTCTCTAAACCCAGCCACTTACCAGCGCAGAACTTGACAACTGCAAATACCACGAGTACACCTTCTACGAATGCAAGTAGCAAGAAAAGGGCCAAGAATCGCAAGCTCGGTGGTCTTGGAGCATTGCTAGCAAAGCAAAAAGCATCACAGACAAGCTCTTCTGGGTTTGGTCTTGATTTGATGGACTTGATGAAGAAAAGTTGAACATTCCAAGGCGTCTCATGTTTTCCTTGAGATTATGATCAAGATTCAATATGCGTCAATCAGATATGGGCGGAGAAATCGTCGCTGTGGGATATCCGTACTGTGTACCCAACACCATGGTACTGTCAACATAGACATTTCGATCTTCGGAGCCAGATATTCATCGCAGTGTTGAGTCTTGGCCATACAAACATGATTCGAATATATGCGGCATTGTGTTTATATCTATCCAGGGAACTATTAAGCTCTGCCCGTCAGGGCAGATTTTTAGATTAACCATATGCTGCGACAATGTGTGGCTCCTTATAATAGACGTCAAGTTCTCGATTCAGTCGCAAGGATCCTATATATCAATAAGACGACGATAAAATACCAAACACAAAATCCTCATCACGATATAATAATTTTTCTTGGACCACCTGGGCACTTCATCAATGACAAACCAGACCTTCCACTGCTTTCTCGGACTTTCAGCCTGACGCTTGATGAGGTAACGCGCCCCGCTAAAATTTTACAACCGGGGTCAAATCTTATCAGACAAATCGAAAAATATAATTTCTCGACCCCTCATAAACAATTGCCCCTCCAATTTTTTTACAACCATCATTGTGCGTCATATTAAATTTACACAAAATTAATCAACAACAGAAATTCAGATATTATGGCCGATACAAACCAAACCGAAACAAAGCCAGACGGTGCTGTCTTCGACGATTATTTTGAGAGCTTGGGCAAAAAGGCACAAAACCTTTCAGCCAACGACCAAAAAGATAGTGACGCAACCAACAGCACATTGGAGTCGGATGAAGAACAGAGAGTAGTGGATGAAATCGAGTCATTATGTATGAACTGCCATGAAAATGTACGTTTTGCAGCCATCTCTATCAATAATATCTACTAATCCTCCACTCTTAGGGAATCACCCGATTACTCCTCACACGAATTCCTTACTTCCGCGAAATTATCCTCATGTCCTTTTTCTGTCCCCATTGCAACTTCAAAAACTCCGAGATCCAATCTGCTGGAGAGATTCAACAGAAAGGATCAAGATTTGAATTGCGCCTCACCACTCTCGAAGACTTCGCCAGACAAGTAGTAAAATCTGATACTTGTACTGTAAAATTCATCGAGTTGGATCTTGAAGTTCCAGAAGGGCGAGGACAGTTGACCAATGTAGAAGGCCTTTTGAGCATGATTCTTGATGATCTTGCTCTCAAACAACCAGAAAGAAAGGAGCAAATCCCAGAAGTTTACGAAAAGATCGAAGATGTTATCACTAGAGGCCGAAAGATGCTTGCAGGCGAGGCCTTCCCCTTCAGACTATCTCTTGATGATCCAGCAGGAAATTCATGGATTGAACCAGACCAAAAGGATGGTGTAGGAAAGCTCGCCAAGGTTCAATACCCAAGAACTCCAGAACAAAATGAAGCTCTTGGTCTCAGTGGTGAACAAGCTACTGAAGCCACAACTGGAGGACAACCTACCGCCGCAAGTTTCGAAGACGATGATATTATCCCCAATGAAGTTTATTCTTTCCCAGCTACCTGTCCTGGATGCACAAGACATTGTGTCACACACATGAAGATGGTTGAAATCCCACATTTCAAACAAGTCGTCATCATGAGCACCGTATGTGAACATTGCGGATATCGTTCGAATGAGGTCAAGACTGGAGGTGAGGTTCCAGAGAAGGGTAAATGCATCACTCTCAAGGTAGAGAGTGCCGTAGATCTAGCCAGAGATATCCTCAAGTCAGAGTCATGCGCATTGGAATGCCCTGAACTCAAACTCTCGGTCAACCCTGGAACTCTCGGAGGAAGATTCACCACCGTTGAAGGTTTACTCACACAAGTTCGAGATGATTTACATCAACAAATCTTCGATGTTGGTGATGCCGGAGAAGGTGGAGATGGCATGGAATCAGAATCTAAGAAGAACTGGAAGATATTCTTTGATGGTATTGACGAGGCCATCAAAGGCGAAAGAAAATTTACCATTATCCTCAGAGATCCGCTAGCTAGTAGTTACGTACAGAATTTGTATCTGCCAGATGACGATCCATCGATCAAGACTGAAGAATATGAGAGAACAGAGGAGGAGGAGGAAGATCTAGGTCTGTCTGACATGAAGACCGAAGGCTATGTAGATGAAGTTGGAGACGAGAAGAGGAGAGTGGAGGCTGAGAAAGCTGCGGTGGAAGAGAAGAAGGATTAAACATCTCAAGATGCTTATTCGAAACCAAAAACGTCTGATTTTTTAGAATAATGATATCCACCAATTACAAAGCCTGGCTTACACTACATTTCTGGTTTCTCACCTGCGCGTATGGCAAGTGCCCTAATGTTTCAAAGATTTGCATGCTTATGGTGGTTGGCATTTTAACGTCATATTGTTTGAATTATGCATTGGAGACGAGTGCGTAATACAATTCTGTATCACAGTCTATTCTACACTCTGAGCCCAAATCGATCGTTAGCCGCAGCCACTGCAGTAGCGCAGTAAAGATAGCATTTTGCCATGGGACCCGCTTAAATCAGGTCTACCAATCAAGAAGTAGTGGAATGTCACTGGTACCAGGGAAAGCTTGGGCCAAGTCTAGACGAAATCCCCTACAAAGTCTGAGATATCTTTCTATGTACACCTACTACTTCTCAATTCCTCTTACCACTTAATAGAATCATTCTTTTCACATGAATCTATCTTTATACACACGAAACTTTCTACGGAAACCCATATTCGGAAGATCAACACTTCAAATGAGTCTCCTTACTCCTATCGCCCGGGAGTTTCGAACGTTAGCACAATGTCCACAACTTGCCATTGCTGAAGCAGAGGATGATATGGATATCAGAACTAAATATCGTCCTTTCTTACTGGATCCCGAAACGGAAGCTACAGATTGGATCTCTCAGTTGGAGTTAGACTCTGTAGTTACCCAAGTGGAAGAAAACTTAGCGAAGACTAGCTCTAGACTAAAAGTCTTAGTTCTCTATGGGAGTTTACGGCAACGGTATGCTTTCACTTGCCATGCTTCGCGTACGAAATACATCTAACAAGAGACCAAGATCCTACTCAAAGTTAATGGCTTTTGAAGCTTCCCGAATTCTCCACCGTCTCGGCTGCGATGTTCGAGTGTTCAACCCAAAAGATCTTCCCATTCGAGACTCAGTCGACGCCTCTCATCCCTCAGTCCAAGAACTCCGAGAACTTTCCCTCTGGTCAGATGGCCACATTTGGTGTTCCCCCGAACAACATGGAAATCTAACTGCTGTTTTCAAGAACCAAATTGACTGGATCCCACTTGCCACCGGCTCGGTTCGTCCAACCCAAGGTCGCACGTTATCGGTAATCCAAGTTAATGGCGGCTCTCAAAGTTTCAACGCAGTCAATAGTCTTAGGATTCTGGGGAGATGGATGAGAATGTTTACATGTCCTAATCAGAGTAGTTTGCCGATGGCGTGGAAACAATTTGAAGACGAGGGGGGCGATGGGAGTGGAAAGGCGAGATTACTGCCAAGTGGAAATAGAGAGAGGTTGGTCGATTGCATGGAGGAGTTTGTAAGGTATACGATTATTATGAGGCCTCACTTTGAGATTTTTGGGGATAGATTCAGTGAGAGAAAGGAGAGAGCAGAGAAGGAGAGGAAGAAAAATGAAGTTCCTGTAGATAAGATTTGAGATTTAGAGTTCGCTTCAGTACAGCAATTAGAGAATGAGCTTTGAGTTATTCCCTGCTCAATCTTTTTTTTATCGTCCTACTCTTTGCAAGCCAAGTCAAGCCCGTCACCATATCCCAGCTGTTGATGCCTCATGTTAATCTTGAATCGCTCCTTCCCGGCATAACTTAGTTGTGCTTCTGCCACTTCAAGACATCTATATACCTTGAATAACACGTCATTCTCAGCTCTATTATCATAAGTCTATCTTATACACGAATGGCGAGCTCCAATTTTGAGAACCAATAATGGATGCACGAATTCGTGAGACGATGAGAAAGTTAGATTTGGTGATAAATCCTGAAATATTTTCTCGAGACTTCGAGATTTTGTATAGGAGGCTAGTTTATATCAAGTACTGGATTGACTGGCTTGATATAGAATGTTCGACTATAAGTCATGGTGAGTTAAAAGACTATTGTTGGGATCACCCCGGCGGTGATTGTGACGTCTTCATAATAGGTCTAATACATTGATTGATACTGTGTGTTGTCAATCGAAAGGTTGAATTGAATTGTATTGAAAGCTTTCGAAAAAGGAATAAAAAGCTCCACGACTTCGTAATCTAGGACAGAGTAACTGGACATAGAATTTCGAAGCGTGTTGCAAATGCGAACTATCGTTTAAGACGTCATATAAGTCGCAGAATGGAATTGTATTAAAGAATGAAGCTAATCCATATTACTGCGATACTAATTTCCATCAATAAACCTATGAAAGTTGAAAGGAATAAAAAGAGAGGCTGGAAACCATATTCATTTTGTTCTTGTGTAGGTTACCTAAAAAAGGACTAAAAGCTCATTGAAAAGGAGAGTTAAACTCGATTCTTATTCCTGATAAAATGGAAGCTGTTGAAGATACTAGAAATTTTTTGATTTGACGCTAGAGTGCACTGTAGTGTTCACTGTGCTATCTGGTAGGCATTTTGATCGAGGTTATTGCGATGGAGGGTATTGTGTTGGCGGATATTGTGTTGATACAGGTTGCTCTGTACCACTGTATCCTTCAGATTGCTTGAGACTGCTGGAGTCAACATTGTACCTGCTTTCTTCATAATTTGGTGCTGATGGAGATATAATGGTACCATAGTCTAAGCAGCAGATCAGTTTGACGCGGTTTTAATGCTAGGCATATTTGAAGAAGTACCTGACATATTTGCAGCGACAGATGAGGTCGAAGTTGATTGGTCGCGCTTAAATTTCCATTCGATAATCCCCCTGGAATCGGTGCCATGAGATTGCCATTGCTTCCTATCATGATCCCATTCCCATTCACTCCATGAAGTGCAATTTGACCTTCGATGATGATGATGATGACTTGGAAGGAACGGAATAACTTCCTCGGCCTCCAGGGATGGGCCGGAACGCACATGAACCGGAATTCTGGAAAACTTCAACCGAATGTTGCCTTTAGTGCTGTTTTGAAGAGACATCCCATTAAGGTCTTGGATACATTTGGTGGCAAAGGAAACATCCTCAAATTCGACGAAACACATTAGACGATTCGGTCCAGATGTAAAGTATAAGCGTCTGAAGCCTTTCTGCTTAGAAAACATTGCCATAAGTTCTTCCTCGGATGTATCCCTCGGGAGGTTTCCCACAAAGAGAGTACTGCAAGGGGGATTCTGTTCCGCTGATTTCATCTGCGGGAGATTATGACGCTGGTAAGGAATATGCGGGATTTCTTGTTGGTTGCTGACAGATGGACCAAGATCAGTCGATGTACCTTCATCAGGATGATTCTCGATAGGATATTTTGACTCAGGCGTCTCAAATCCTTTTAGTATAAGATTCGATATTGATGGATATTCAATATATTGTTTAGTCAAAGTATAATCAGCTTCATCTATTAGATTATTCTTCCACATATATTCTATTACCAAAAAATCTGGTTGAATATTTGTTTTTCCATCAAGGAAATGATCACGACTGTGTATCATTCTATTGCGCCAATTCTTGTATGAATTATCGATATCTTCGAATTCTTTATCACAGAAATGACAAAAGCATTTCGATGGAGGAGGAAGGTTTTTGAAATGCGTTAGACTGTGTGCAAACCAATTTTCGAAATCTTCTGAATTGAATGTTACTCCACAATCATTCCATATGAATTCGCATGGAAGAACAATGTTAGATTGAGGCAGAAAAGTAGTTTGATCATTTGCGCTCAATGAAGGATTTGGGAGTTCGCTGCTATTTCCACTTTGGATAGTGCTATTAGAACTCGAATGCAAGCGCTTATCTTGTTCACCCAAAGAGTCTGATGGAGATTTGGAACCTCTCACCGGTCCTTGCGATTCATCATATTGACCAAAAGCACCACTTTCCACACATTTCATACAATACCAGTAGCCACCAGGAATATTGTCTAGATCGATACAATGTGTATGATAAGAAGCATTGCATCCATTGCATGATAAGAGAACATTTTTTTGATCTGACTGATCGCACATCAGACATGGTCTTTCTACTTCTGGCTCTTCCATTGAAGCAAGAATTTGTTTAGCCTTGTCTGCTACACCACTGTCGCCTTCCTGGGAGTAATGAGTGACAAGTCTCTCCATAAGTACCCTTGGATTGGGCAAAGATAGATCCTTTGCTTCAAGACTATTGCTGATTTGTTGGAATGTATCTTGTAGAGGGACTACATAAGCTTCGCCAAGCGGATTCGATGCAACTACGTGACCATAAACCTCTAGAGACTCCTGGTCTACGATCAAAGATCCACATTCACCATCAATGACACCTAGACAGATATCGTTAGCTAAAATGCGCGTGAAAGACTCGCAACTCACAGTCAGAGTCAGACAAAATTACGTTCCACGCCTGACAGAGATCTTCATTTGGTTTGCCTCCAATGTAAGATTTGTTGTTAAGCATTACGCCCTTTCTTGTTCCGCTTACTCCAGAGATCATGAACACGTTGACGTCGCTAGTTTTGGGAATTGCCGAAAGAGTCCGAAAGAACTTGGGATTTGCGGGGTCATCTTTCGAATAAAACGCGTTAGGTCGCTCATAGTATCCATTATCAAATTCAATCAAGGCCCAGTCGAGATTCGCTGTCGTATCTATTACAGACAGTATATCCACCTTGCGGCCACTTATAGATTCACCACACTGTTCAGTCGGCCCGTGATCAATGGTTGTTTTGGCATGTGATCCTCCGGATGATACTGATTCAGCGTCCGAAACACATTCGCCATTCTCAAAGTCTTCGTATTTCACATCATCAATCCATGGCCACTCTGGTTCACTATCTTCGGAGTCATCCTCATCATACAAAACTTCTGCTTCGTTTGCCGTCGTTGGTTGTTCTTCACCCTGCTGATCCTTGAACAAATGATCCACAGTCAAACCATATAGCTTAGAGTCCATACTAATAAGTAGCCCTAGAGTCGAGGTACGATCACCATACTTTATTAATGATCCACACATTGTGAGAAACGAATGGTTCCTGGCAACCACTTGCTCCATTGCGGACTTTCGTTGGGTAGGTGTGTTTGCTTCCCTCCAGTAGACGACATTGAAAGGTAATACAATAGGAGCAGATACTTGTGGATGAGGCTTGCTAGGAGCCAATTGAAATTTGTCCCAAAGGGAAGAATTCATCAGCTGATATTGTCGACGGATGTGCTTGCTGCCTAATAATGATCTTAGGCATTTGAAAAGAGCTTCAGCGCAAAAGATGATGACCGAGGCAACTGCGTTTGCTGGAGTGCTTCCACATAAACGTAGCTCATAGTTGATCTTTGAAGTGTGATACTTTAGAACTTTGTGAGTATCCACAGCCTGCTTAAAAAAATCGACAAGTTGTGGATATCGCTCTTGAAATTCCGATTTGATTGGTGCACGAGGGTAGATATTCTTATCCGTACCAGGTACCCTTCTTGGATCGGCATAATCTGGAGAGGCTACTTGGGTGTACCGCACAATGGGTATCGTAGTATTAGCTTGAACAGGATTCTGCGAGGTACTCGGGCTATTTTCCAGCGAGGATTTTCTCTGCACAATAGAAGATGCAGTAACGGCCTGAAGAGGGCTCTGCGAGGCACCCGGGTGGTTTTCTGGTAAGGGGCTCTGCGCGATAGGACCCTTGGGGGATCTGGAGACAGCCTGGAAAGGGTTTTGCGAATAATTATGACCGTTTTCCTGTGGGGAGCAAGGATGTCTTTCTCTTGGACTACCTTGAGGTTGACGATGGATTTTAGGTTCGTTTGATGGAAAGTTTTGTGATTCAAAGAACTTGGGGTTAACAGCCTTGCCGCAGGCAGATGACCGTTGCCACGCGTTGTTGATATTGTTCAACGGCTGGTTTGTATTTAGGATCTCTACTGAGCCGCGCTCAACGAAAGTCTCCGAATTCATTTTTTCAAACACAATTAAAGTGTATGAAACTTTGACTTTGACTCGATATTGCCACTGTATCGGTGCAAGAACTGTTGAGATAAAAATTCTCCGGGAGTTTTGAAGAGGCGGATTCATGAGGTTACATCGAGGCAGTGTTGAGAGGTAGGCTGAACAATACCCCCCAGCATTTGTGGCTTGGGCGGTGCCGAAGGACCTTCCAATCAATACAGTAGAACCAATAAACTAAGGCTGGCCACATGTCATCGAATTGCTCTTGCGACCATCAGACTGTATACTTCAAGCTTTCATTTCAAACTACATTCTGAAAGAATAATACATATTGCACAATGCGACCTGCCACAATAAACGAAAAAAAGCTAGTTGCGAAAGACCTTTTCAGCGCCGAAGAAAAGATTCACTCATTCAGTACATACTTCCAAATCTACGACCGTTTGATGAGTCCCCAATATGCAACGGTTCAAGTACATCCTTCTGCCTTGAATTCTCATGATGATATTCGAAGATTGGCTCTTGAATTGAGGGCAAATCCACAAAGTACACGTGAAGAATTCAGAACTAAAGTATTTCCAAATATTTCGACGGATCCAGAGTCTGTAATTGACCAGGAGCGTGCTATCAATGTCGCTGTGCAGATTATGTTGATGATTGATTGCTCTGATAAAGATCGTCACTATGAAGGCTACGAGATTGGCGGCTTCCGGCCAGTCAGTTGGAATAGCTCAGAGCAGTTCGCCGATTTTGTGAAGAAAGTCTTTCCAATGGATGTTCACGATCAAGAGAAAGTTCGAACGGCATTGAAAGAGAAAAATGCTTTGAAATGTTGGAAATTAAGGAAGCGAGCACATATCAAATTCGTTTCAACGGACAACATAGCGGAGCACCTTCTATACGACCCCCAAGATAACGTCGTTCGCCTCTTCCGCCAAACAGCATTTCTAAAAGCTCATCTCCGACTTTCAGCTAGCCAGCCTATTCAGCTCGGAATCGCTGAAAGTCTCAAATTGTGAGGTTCATGTTCAATTAATCCGATATATCTATCTTGATCAGCTTATTCTAACTTGCGTTTTCAGGGGGACGTTACCACCGCAATTGCTCCTAGAGACATTGTATTCCTTGCAATGTATACTATTCCCTCCAACTGATGAAAAGTCGTCTCGATTTCTGGAGAACATCATTCAAGAAGCCGAAGCCAGTTTTGACCCGGATTGCCTGCTTTATGAAGGATACAATAGACCGGTACCGGAAAACTTTGAATACCATTACTGGGGTGATCGGCTTGCTAAGTTAAATCATCTTGTGACACACCCAAGATCGAGCCATCGTATTGGCCAGTGGATACAAAGGAATGCTTCCGAGAGGAATGCCTTGTTTGTAGCAATTTTGTCCCTTGTTCTATCAGCGTTTTTTGGTTTCTTAAGCGTTATTTTGGGAATGTTTCAGGCATGGGTGGCTTATATGTCTTGGAAAGCGCAGGTGAACGCTCCGCAAGCTCCGTGACATGTTGATGTTGAATAGGCAGAAGGACAAGCCGATCGATGTGGTTTCGAGAAAGATTTTCTATGCCAGTACTCTCCTGAAAGTGATGGTGACTGGAAGCTAGTATGAATAGAGAATGATGGAGGATAAGCTCCCTCGGTTTGTTACCACGATGGAATTGGTTACTCAGGAATTATAACTTGTTTGGAGGGCGTTGGGGTGATGATAATCGATACATAGTCATAGTAAAAGGATAGAAACATGGAGTTGTCGCAATATATATCAAGAACTTTTTTGTTTAAAATAAAATAAAATAAAATGGTAGAATCATCTGACTCAGAATCACACTTGGTCGTATCCAACTATCCGCTAACAGCCATCTCGCTACCTCTTTTCCAGGTCCTCTGCCCCACATCTACTTTGCCAGAGAAGCTCACTTGTGAATCGTGAAACTATAAATGCTCTAGCGACCCATCCAAGCAAGGAATCATAGGTAGAATTAACAGTCTTCAAGTAATACCCAAATCGAAATTACGCAGCATGGAAGAGAGGCGAGCGCTTTGACTCCTAAAATGAACAGCTTACTCTAGTCCGAAAAAGCTCGATGAGAGTAGACCAGTTGAGAATTAGTTCCAGGAATCGATTAGGTGCAATAGCGATGCAGACTTCATACGGAACCTGGATCTATAGACAAAGTCTCATGCGACTTATATTCGTGCCCTCGCCCAGGTACTGTGTTTGGATAATACCCAACCTTGTGTCATGACTGACAAATGTACCACGTGAATTTGCAATTTGCACTCGTCTGCCATTGAAATTTTCGCGTTCATGGTGACTTAAACCCAGTGCTCGTATTGGCGGGTCAGGAAATATGGCCTGGGTTGGTTTCCAGAGGGTAGATGGGGAGTAAATTAAGGTTGTTGTATGGATATTTGTGAAATTTCGGACTTTCTAAGCTTTGATATAAGGATTAGGTGTTTTAAGGATTCAGTCTTTAATTTCAAGCTTCAATAGGCTTTGGATATAAGGCTTAGTGGGGGGATTATGCCGATTAACCAATGGCCTGGCGATTGATGTACGTTAGGGTTTTAATGTAGCGATTCACGGCTTAGATCATAGAGCAAATTGTTTTTTTGAACAACATTAGACGAGAAGCTTCAGCCCTAGCCTTAGGCCTTGTGGAAGAGGCAGCTGGGGGAAAATAGTTGCTTCAGTCACTTCTTGCAGATTCAAAGGATATATACATGAGTTGAAACTTTCTCTTTCCTGACTACGACCTAATCATCGATCGATTATATGAAACCCGTAACTCAAAATCCAAAGACATACATAACCCTAAATCTAATCGTCTAACCCATGATCCATGACCCATGACCCACGACCCCTAACACCGTAAAATCACTCCACTCTAGTTAGCCTGCTTGTACGGTTCTACTATCATCCTTGTCATCATCACCGTTACACGTCTTTTGCGCTTTCGCATTCAAATCAGCGCCACTTGCTAATAATAATTGAACCCCAACATCGAAGCCCTTTTCAATAGCAATATGCAGAGCAGTCCAGCCCATGTCATCATACGCATCAATGCCTTGCTCCCAGTCTCTCTTATCGTATTCCCACAAAAGCAATCGTAAAACACCTTGATGCTGATTCATGGTAGCCCAATACAATGCCGATCGTCCCCGTCGGTCTACATCACTGATACGAGCGCCGTGTGCAAGAAGTAGACTGACTACAGGTTCGTGCCCGTCTATTGACGCATGAATTAAAGCCGTTCGCATGTCGCTATCTTTTTCATTGCAGTCGATATTGTGTGAAATAAGTGTGCGGACGATCGGCTCGTGACCTCGACGAGCGGCGATGTGTAGCGGACTCAGCCATCCTTTGCTTTGTCCATCTGGTTTGAGTAATACTGAAGTGGGGCGTTCCTTTGTCAAGCTCGATTGACTGGAGTCGCTGCAGTTGTGCGGTATCAAGGCCATGCCCGGATGGACGTGCGGTTCATGTCCAGAGCCTTTGTGCTGTGCGTGATCGGAGCGGGTGGGTGAAAAGACACCTCCCAGGGTCCCATAGAAGTTGAAGCAGTCTGAGCTCATAGGGCTAGCCGATGACGTCCTTGATGTTCTCAGAGAAATGAAGTCTAAGTTCTGATCGAAATTGGCTTGAAAGTCGGTCATCGGTGGTGTCGAAAACGAGCTGTCACTGCCGGAAATTAAGCTGTCCATGAAATTGATATCGTCTAATCCTTGAACACCATTATTGGGTGTGTCATTTGGGGAGCCGGCCGTCGAACTGCCAGATGTTTGTGCAGAAGTGGCTACCCTGGTGAGATAATCGGACGAATTGGTGCCAACTTCTGTGGAATCTTGAAGATCTGGGACTTCTATCAGGTCCGTTTCAGTAATCGAATGAGAATCTCCACTAGATACTGGCTGATTGCTATCGTTAAGCGCAAATTTTGATGTCTTGCGCGACTCTGTTCTCCTGATTAGACCGCTGCCCACAGACTGTAGGTTGGTAAATAATGGTAATAGTACTCACGACGAAATTTGCGTTGGGCAATGCGATTTTGTGATCTGCGACGATGAACAGGGTCAATCCTCCATTCAATGTCTACCTCGACCATTGTTGCGACACAAAAGAAAGTCAACTATATAGTCATCCCAGGCTTCAACAGAGGTTGTGACATTAGGGAATCTCGGAACCAATATAGTGCTTGCTCACATTGAACATTTTTCGACGCTCGCTCATCCTTATTGGCCTTGCACCACATTTGCTGACGGGCAGGGGTGATCCTAAAGATACGCATATAGGATATTACCCTAGAAATCTCGGAGCTGAATTTAAGACGATATGCAGGGCCATGACACCGGGTACACTATGGCTGTTTGCCGCCCACAATTTAAAGTCATTCTAATTGGATGACGAACTTATTGGGAACCAGAAACGGTCGGTCGGATGGTACGAGCGATTTTACGTAGGGGAGTAGATAGCACACAGGCCTGGCGTGATACGGAAAAAGTGGACCTAGATAGGTTTAGGCGGATGAAGATTCAAAAGACTAGCTGTTTAGCGATGACACAATATTAAAGTTTCTGGAGATATTTACACCCTTGATTTTTTTTACAACGTATGCGTATATCACAAGATAAGATGGAACTCAAGCAAAAATCTAGATTACATGACTTGACATTTGAAACTGGGTACCTGGGTATCTAGTTGATGCTTTCGGTATTTTATTAATATAGACTAATAATATTGTTACAAAGACTAAAACTTAATAAAGATTAATATATTAAATTTTAGATATCTAGTTAAGTATACCATAAATTATTTTTATCCTTATGAAATTATTAAAATTATTAAAATTAATAATACTCAGATAATAATAGCTTATCAACCTCTATATTCATGTGCCTTATCGCCGATTTTGTTGCCGCTTTAAATTCAGGATGTCACTTGATGAAACAATGCAGGAAAAGACTCTGATAATTTACTGGAGTAGAAGCGCCAAGTAGAATTGCTAGGAATACAAAAGTGTCAACAACGTGTATCTGGCTATAGGAGCTTTGACACGAGTTTCTCGCACAGTGCAATAAGTGAACTGGCATTAGTAATGTCAAGTGTCGTTAGTTCGGCCCCAAGCTCAATACGAATCCAATTCCGCAGCTCGACTGCTGCGAGCGAATCCAATCCATATGATATTAGGGGTTTCGCCGTTTCCATCTCGGTTTCCAGCCGTAAGATCTTGGTAAATTGCGTTGCAATCACCTCCACACATACTTTGGCCAGGGCTGCCTTGTCAGCTCCTGATTTGCGCATCATCCGAAATGCTTCTATTGTCTCATCGCCCTGGCCACTTCCGCCATCTTTATTGCCACCTGCCGCGCTTTGGAAAAGATACCCAAATCTTCCTTCGTACGAGAGATCTGAGTCCTCGGGCAGTGGAAACCCAATACCAGCGATCAGCTGTGTGTTGCTACTTGCATTAATCGGTGCTTTCTCGTCTTGCTGCAAGATGGAATAGCTCAAAATCTTTCGCAATGTATTTTCAGTTACTGGCGTCCACTGTCTCTTGTCGAAACGAGCATCGAAACCCTCTTGCTCGGCCACGTAGCCAACGTCTTCTATGAGGCCGAGATCAACAGAATTTGCCCGAAGACCGAGCGATTCACGATACTGGGCAAACGCATCCAGAAATGTGTTTCCCGCAGCATAATTGGCCTGTCCCTTGTTTCCAACAATACCGGAGATGCTCGAAAGCAAAGTGAAGAAGTCAAGTGGCTCTTTTTGTTCTTGAGAAACATGATGCAGATTCCATGTTCCATTGAATTTGGCGTGAAGGGCCGTGTGGTAATCATCCAGTGTCATGGTTTCAAATGGTTTGTCTCTGAGTATCATAGCCCCTTGAATGATCCCGGCAATTCGTGGTGATGCCTCCTTGAAGACTTTACTCATGAAACTCACGCTCGCAGCGTCACCCTGAGCATCTACAACTTCGCATCCATATGCAAGGCAGTTTTTCACAATCTTTTGTGACGCAACATCGCTAATGCCACTTCTACTACAAGCGATGATATGCCTAGCTCCATGCCGCGCCATATGAATAGCCAGGGAGCCACATAAGCCTTTCAAGCCACCAACTATGAGATAGGAAGCATCAGATCTAAGGTTGAGTTTGCGTGTTGCTGGCCTAATAGGCACCTGCGAGTCTATTCCTTTATCGGAGATAACGACCTTCCCTATGTGTCGACCGCTACGAATGTAGGCCAGTGCTGCTGGAATGTCGTTAAATCCAAAGATGGTAACTGGGTGAATGGGCTTCACATGGCCACCATTAACCAACTCGAAAATCTGGTCTAGCAATCTAAATAGAGTGGCACAAAGAATTAGAATCTGATTGACCGAAAACTACTCTCATACAAATTGGGGTAGAGGAAGTTCGGGGGGGGGGGGCAAGCGGGACATACCTTGAAATCAATGGATCTACGATGTTTTCTGTGTAAGAAAAGTCCATCGCTCTGTATGAGCAGTTGCGATCGAACGGCTCCATAGATAAAGTGTTACGGTCAACGATGTCTTTCTTTCCAATCTCAACCATAGTTCCACCATCGGCGCAGATTCGCCACGAGGCATCGAGCAATTCTCCAGCGAGGGAGTTGATGATCACATCGACACCGCGACCATTGGTTGCATGCATTATCTGCTTAGCAAACTTTGTGTTACGCGAGGAAAACATACGCGACGGTGGAATGCCGTAATTTTCGGTTAGAAATTTGCGCTTTTCCTCTGTGCCAACTGTAACATAAATCTCGGCCTTCTTGTATTGGGCTAATTGAATGCATGCAATTCCAACACCACCAGATGCCGAATGGATCAGAACAGATTGTCCTTCTCTCAGATTGGCAATATCGTAGAGAGAATAGATTGAGCACAAGTACACCGAAGGTATAGTTGCGGCATCCTCAAAGCTCATTGAATCCGGTATGATGTGAGCTCGCCCGACACCCATTTGGAGACGATTTGCATAACTGCCTCCGTTCAAGAAGCAGACACGATCTCCAACCTTGAACTTTGTCACACCGGGTCCAAGGCGCTTTACGATACCAGCTCCTTCGTATCCAGTGGTGTACTCGTTCTCAGGAACAATCCCCATTGTCACAGCTACGTCCTTGAAGTTGACACCCACAGCCATCACTTCCACTTCAATCTTTCCTGAATCTACCGGCACCTCTCCAACAGCAGTTTCACACCATGTGAGACTCTGGAAAGTTCCAAGACGCTCAGCTCTCAATTGAACGGCTGCTTCAGTTTCGTGTAAATTCTTGAGTGCAGGCTCTGCGCCTTCAACCTCGGCTCTCTTGAATTCATTCACTTGGAGGTCCGGAACAATTCTTTGCACATACAAAGTCCCGTTGCGTTCTACGAACTCTGTCTCAATGACGGACTTCGAGTCTGGATGGTTGATTTCGAGCGAATTGAGAATAGCGTCAATGGCATAGTTCGTGGCAGGACCGGCGCTCGACTCCACGTCTAGAACGCTAAGTTTAACGCTAGGATCCTCTCTACGAGCAACGCGGAATAAACCATGAACGAGAGCATTGTTTGGGTCTGTCACCTTGTATTGTGCACCTTTGGTGACCCAGAGCAGATGGTTACCAGAATTGATAAGCATCTTAAGGCCTTCCCACTGAGTTGCGTTGATTTGGGTCAACACTGAGTTATGAAGCTCATCTAGAATCAATACCACTGTTCCTGTTGCAGCAACATTGTCCGGTGAGTACGTCGTCTCTGTGACTTTCCACCCAGATACTTCTAACACAGCTTTGAGCGAGGGATCCAACGATGGGGTAGTCTCCGAAAACCGCACGACAGATAAGTTCCTAGGTTGCGAGGTGATTTTGACTTGATTAGTGTATAATGACCATGCCGGACTGTCATTATCATTAGCGATCTGTAGAACAGAAGTAACCCCCTTCACTTCCATCGCTTCTTGTATCGCTAAAGAGTTTGAAAATCGGTTTGTAACACCCGCAACGGACTGAAGTAGCTTTTCTTTGAGCTCGTGGACTTCATCGAGTGTTATTGTTTCGGTCACAATGGGAATTTCAGAGTCCCTCACAGTGACTTCAGAAGACTCATTCACTGTCCATGGCGTCTCAGGGGACTTTATTGACGACGGTGATTGAGACTTCTCGTCAAGAGGAGGGGTAGTTACAGAGCTATTCCTTGATTGCAAGTCACTCTCTTGCACTACAAGCGCAAATCCTTTCTCGGAAAGATGAGACTTGATGTAGTCGAGACTATCATTCAAGCTCTGGTCAACCACCGGATTCTTTGCAACTTTGAGAATCACAAGGTCGTAAATCGCATCTTGTGGCAAATCCAAGGCATCTTTAGTGGGATTTACTAGAAAGAATGATGAATTACTCTTTGCCTTGTACTTGTTTTGGATAGAGACGAGACCCTTCGCATCTCCCGAAGCAAAGTCATACTGCAGATAAGCCGATCTTGATAAGGGATCTTCAGACTCAAACCAAATAGATCTCGTCTCACTATGGTTGAGGCTGACCTCAAGAATTCTCAAAGCAGGCCGCTTGTGCGCAATCAGGTTTATAACCGAATCAAGTTGAGTCTCGGAATTCTCAGCATCCAGACTACCCAACTTTTCCTGGGAAAAGAAAGTGATATCTGGCTTCCAAGAAATGCAATCAAATACGTGTGGATCTGTTTTTATTCCCGTATCTAACTTAGCGAAGCGTAGTGCAGACATCTGCATAAGGAGAGCACCAGTGTCTGGGTGATAGACTGAACAATTAGCAAAGTAGCTCTTAGCTTCTTCCAGACGACCACGGCCAGAATATTCCGAGGAAGCGAGCGAGAGACCCTCCTGGAGACCAGCAGGCACACTGTTGATAATCAGGTCATCGATTATGGAAGGTACCAGGACAGCATTTACTGAGCTGCGTTCTCCTGCCCATAGAGCAGGTGTGACTGTCTGGAAGCATCCATCAAGAGCTGCTGGATGGATTGGATAATAAGATTGCGGTGACCATTTTGAAGCTGGCTCTGCCAACGATACCTGTGCCCGAGATTGTCGTTGACCACTGCTAGACTCGACTTTCAGTAGCTTCTGGAAACTGGGACCAAAGCCATAGCCGGCTTCCGCCTGAGCTTTATACCAGACCTTGCCAGAAGTTGGGTATTGCAGGGGTGTGTTATCAGACTCTGCCAAATGCTCATCAACAGGGTCTTGTATGCGAATCAAACCCGAGCAATGCTCCATTAAAAGGTCTCCGGTCGTTGAAGAAATGCGAAATTCTTGCCAATCTTTACTACCATGCTGTTGAGTCAGCGATAAAAGTATGGCGGAGTCTTTATCGTCTTCTAGTACTAAAGCTTTGTCAAAGCGGATATTTCTCAATCGATAGCATAGCTCATTGGGCGAACTAATGATTAGATCCTCGGTCGCAGTGGCGCGTGTTTTCTGGTACAATGCTTCTACAGCCATTGCTATGTATCCAGCACCAGGCATCAAGACATCTGAACCCATTTTGTGATCTTTCAGCCATGGAACATCAGTAAGGTTTAGAAGCTTTCGCCAGGTTGGTGACTTCCACGTGGTCCCGATGACTTTGCTTCCAAGTAAATCGTGATTCACGAATTGCTTAAACCTCCAATCTTTGCTCGATGCATTCTCATGCCAGTACTTGACGGAGTGATTCCAGGTGTAATTTGGAAGATCAATCAAGGTTTTAGGGTTGTTATACTGATTGACACTTCTCAAACTAATGTCATGGCCCGCGACGAATAGACGACCTGCCAGATCGAAAATAGCTTTACCCGCAGCCTGACCTCGAGCCCATGAAGGACTGTACGAAATGCCATCACTGCTAGGTAGTGCTTTCAAGATCTGCGAGATAGGGCCAGCAAGAGCCCCCGATGGACCAATTTCGATCAAATAGTTTGGAGCTTTCTCGTCCGAAAGCATCTCGTTGAGGGCCTTATCAAATCGTACTGGTGAAACCATGTTTGTTTTCCAATACAATGCGTCGGTAGTAGTAGTCTGCTTCAGTCCAGTGACTGAAGAAAACATCGATACATCTGATGATCCACCAAGGGAAGCGAAGCCCGATTTCAAAAGCTTCTCATACTCTTCACCAATCACCTCCATAAGCTCAGAGTGGTAGGCAAGGTCGACTTGGAGAAGTCTAGCGAAATGACCGTTGGCTTTCAATTCCTCAGCCAGCTTTTCGAGCGCCTCGCGCTTCCCGGACACAGTCAAACTGCTAGGACTGTTGAAACAAGCGATCCAAGCTTTTCCGGCATACTTTTCTAAGAATGGCAACAGTCCTTCTGTTCCTAGACCCACAGCTAACATACCAACATCACTTTCGACTTCGTTCTTTCGATTCACAGCAGCCCGACCTCTATAGTAGGCTACCTTGATGGCAGTGGCTTGGTCGAGAAACCCTGCTGCATATGCAGCCGCAATCTCGCCAGATGAGTGGCCAACAACGCTTTGAGGTTTGATACCCCACTTTCGAAGAATGTCGATAATGCATAGTTGAAGTGCTGTGACCAGAGGCTGTGAAAATTCTGGTTGACGAAAGTGTTCGGCGCTGCGAACTTTGGTTAACTCGTGTATCAATAACCAGGTTGGAGGCTGTGGAAGACTCTGTAGAGCATCATCAAGGTTATTGAGTATATTTCTTGTCCATGGAAAGAATTGCAGCAAGTCCTTCCCCATTTGAGGCCACTGGGCACCCTGACCAGTGAACACGAAACCAATCCTCAGGGCTTCTGGATTCTTTTTTCCAACAACAAAATCGTTTTCGTCAATATCTGTGCTTCGTGTTGTAATATACGCCCGGTGCCATAGCTTTGTTCTCCTTTCAGAAAGCGTATACGCGAGATCCTCAAGATTGACCTTGACACGAGGGTTGATCAAGTGGTTGCACAATGCCTTGATGTTAGCCTTAAGCGAAGCATTATCATTTGCCGAGACAACGAGTGTATACGGATGCTCTGAGTCATCTTCATCCAAAGTAATCTCGTCAGTATCAGATAGGTATGAACTGATGTGATGCGGGCCATCTGGAAATTTCGGCTGTTCCAGAATCACGTGTGCATTGGAGCCTCCATATCCAAACGAATTGACACTTGCTCGGCGAATAGAACTTTCAGGCCACGGAATTGAGGTGCGAGTAGCCTTCACTTTGAGACCAGCAAAATCAACTATAGCCACATCATTGTTAGCAATGGAACTTTGCAATAGATACCACGTTTGGGCTGTGCTTACTCTTTGGACTAGGTTTTATAAAAGTTGGATTTCCTGGGATAATTCCATTTTCGATGGCCATAACAGCTTTCATGATGCCTGAAATACCCGCTGATGGCTCAGCATGTCCTAAGTTACTTTTTATCTTGAGGATAAATCAGTGAGCGCTCATGATTAACAATCCAGTAAAAAGGGACACTTACCGAGCCGATGATGAGTGGCTTATCTGCTGAGCGTGTCGCACCAAATGCGGAAGCGGCACCCTTCACTTCAGTGGGATCTCCAGCCTGTACAAAGCGCATCAATTAAGCCGTTTTGTTTACTCTTTGGGGTCAATCCTACCTGCGTTCCGGTGCCATGGCATTCGAGATATGCTGTATCATTCAAATTGGTAATACCTGCATTAGCATACGCTGCTCTGATAGCAGCAGACTGAGCTTCGGCGCTAGGACTAGCAATACCTGGCGTTCTTCCATCGCTATTAGTAGCAGAACCTCGAATCACAGCCCTAATGGGGTCCCTATCGCGAATAGCATCGGATAGTCTTTTGACGATAATACTGCTAACTGCTTCAGCCTTCACGTATCCATCAGCGTCGATATCGAATGTATGACATAGCCCAGTAGGCGAATGTGCATTTCCGACCGCTCCAAGATCCATTACATGCTCAGGATTCAAATAAAGATTGCTTGTTGCGATGATAGCCGCATTTATCTCTCGAGACTGTAGATATCGGCAAGCTACATCAAGACCCACAAGACTACCAGAGCAAGCGGTGTCGATAGTCATACTGATAGGCGTAAAGTGTCAGCCTCAAGGGTCCAGTAAAACGTAAATTCATATTCTCACCTCGGTCCCTTGATATTCAAGAAATGACTTAGTCTGTTAGCCATGATAGCACGCCCAACTCCAACAGTAATGCTTGCTGGCCTATCTTCAGGATCTCTATTTTGCATATCGCCATAATCTGAAGTACTTAGTATTTTCATTTTCATTTTCACGTGGACAGTAGTTCAAGAACATGCTTACTTACCTGATGCATATGAACCAACGAAACACCCGACAGGTGCCCCATCAAGACTTTCTAGTGGGATACCAGCATTTTCGAGTCCTTCAAAGACAACTTCAAGCATCTGACGCTGGTTTGGATCCATTGAGATGGCCTCACTCTTCGAGATCTCAAAGAATGAAGCATCAAAATCCGCCGGGTCAATATCTTCAAGAAACATACCACCGCATGGTCTCATAGTGCGTGGCTTTTGAGACCCATCCCAATGTCCCTCAATATTGAATCTTGATTTGGGCACCTTATTCGAGGCAATGTCTCCTCTCTCGAGAAACTCCCAGAGTTTCTTTGGTGTAGTGTTACCTCCTGGGAGGCGGCATGCAAAGCCAATGATGGCAACTGGCTCTTGAGAATGTTGAGACATTGTAAAATTTGATATGAGGTTTATCGTATATAGATCGATAGAAATTTTTGAAGAAGGGAGTTGATCATGAGTTGGTTGTTCCGATATCATAGCATCTTATATAGAAAGGAAGCTGGTAAATACGGTAAATATTCTGGTCATTCTTTGTCTTCAAACCTAATCACTATACCCATCAAAACTCAAAACATCGAGACTTGAAGTCTCACCATATCACGAATATCCCTTATCTCCGTCCATAGGAAGTTCGTAACCTTCAGCCAATATCTCTATATTCTCACTGATTCTCAGATTTTGGCTCCAGTTTTCGCCCAAGACATTGATCACGAGAAGTTGTGATTTAGAATTTGTCCTAATATTACAATGCAGATCAACAATTCTCACAACAAGCACGTGCTCGCTTGAATCAATCCATGATGACCTTGCATATAGGAAACTGCAGGCAAGGGGCACAGAGCGCTTACGACCCCCGTTATTTACCCAGACCCATATCTTCTGCGATCTGGCATAGCCCACTGCTCCTAGTCCTGCATTGACTACAGATTTATCTTCAGCAAACGACTTAAACCCCGCGGTAAGATTAGTGACTGCACGGTAATTCAGCGGGTCAAGGGATTCATACCCCTCTATCTTTAGTAAACCCTACAGCTGCATGTAAGACACCCTGGATCACGAAATACATGTTGAAGAAACCGTTAGACGATCACGCCACATCTTCAACCTCATTGCACCATCTCTTAAACGTATGCTACCAGCTTCTTCGGAGAATGAATAAGGCCGATCTATGTTGCTATTGCTTGAATCCTGATAAAAGTCCCAGCAAATTTAGGCAGCTTTTCGGTTGGAGAGCTAAGATAGTTCTAGATAGGGTGATTATGCAAACGCAATGCATTGAGATAAGAACTAGGAGAGTGGGCTGCACGAGGTAAGATGTAAGAAAGAGCCCCCTCTTGTTGCAGAAGAGCAAATAAGAGTGAGATGCACAGTGGCCAGCTACGTTTACACGAAGCCTTCCATGTTTTAGGGATCAGTATCATTGTAGAAAGAGGGTACCTTTTACTTCGATCCGTAGATTCCTCTTAGATAGATAGTCAAGGCCGGGCTGTCATACATGATCTTCTGTTCGGTTATATTTTACGTACTATACTCCCTCATCATACGCTTACTGCCAATTCTGTCACTTCATCTAAAATCTATTACATTACAATATTCAACATCTTCCAATAAAGTTACCATTTCAACTCCTTAGAAGATACGTATTGAGATATGGCTCTGCCGGCGGTCAAAGTTGAATACAAGACAATAGATGGCATTACCCTCCGAGGATTGCTACACCCTACGGAGGTGAAAGCACCTGCCATCATCATGACACATGGAGTAAGTGCTTTTCAAACTAGCATTCAATAATTCGTCTCTGTTCTTGTTACTAACAACAGTTTAGTTCAACTGTGTCAAAGAAATGCTCTTGCCAGAAATAGCTCGAAGATTCCAGGGTATAGGTTATAACGCATTGATTTATGATCCTCGAAGTATCGGAGACAGTGATGGACTTCCTAGAAATCAGATCAGCCCATTGCAACAAGCCGAAGATTTATCAGGTCAGTATAGTATATTTCAATCAAAAGAAACCTTTTGCTGTTCAGTTTCGGCTTACAATTCGCTGTATAGACATTATAACACACATCTCATCTTTGCCGAACGTTGACTCTCGTCGAATCATACTTTGGGGTATGTCCTTTGGAGCAACGGTAAGCGCTTGCACAGCAGCTGTGGATAGGCGAGTTAAGTCACTCGTAATGGTGTGTCCCCTTTTTAGCTTCTTTCAGCCAGAAAAGCGAGAAAAGGTTTTTGCACAACTCATTAGAGATCGGCAATCACAACTGCGAGGTAATGAAGCATTCACATTACCTCCATTTAATAGCAAGGGAGAAAATCCAATGGGGTTTGGGGGATCAGGGGGGCCAGGCGGAACGGAAGCATACAGCTTCATGTCCGCAGTCATTGATCATGGTGCCCCCAATTTCCGTGACCGTATCACACTACAGACATACCAGAAACTGTTTATGTTTCGTCCCAAGGTACTACTCGACATGGTTCAGGCGTCAACTCTAATGATTGTGCCCGAATTAGACGATATTTCGTCGCCTGAAGAACAGATTGAAGCTTTTGGGCTCCTAGCAGGACAAAAAACCCTGTATATAGCGAAAGAAAAAGGACATTTGACTGTTCTTAGTGGAGACAAGTCCGAGGAAATCTTGAGTACCATGACAGAATTCATCAAGACAGCTAGTGAGTTGGAAGCATAATGCACCGCCGCGTTTTGACTTTGCGCCAGTGTCTGAAGACAAATAGTTTTTGAATAGAGGAGTTGGCTGGAATACAATACTTCTTCACTGCATCTTCAGGGAAACAAAAGTAATATCATCACTTGACCTACTGTGCCATTTTGAACTCTCGAATTTCTAGCTTAGCTATAGAGGATATTGTACTAAAGTGTCCTATTATTCCAGTCAAAGTGTCCATAAGCCAGACTTTCAGACTGGATGAAGCCATGAATATTCACAATTAATTCAACATCAAAGTAGACTATGTCAATAGTTGTTGAAGGTTTCCCTATTTTAGTTAGATACAGAATGATAAGGTCTTGTATTCTCGGACTGCAGTGGGGACTATTAGAAATCTTCCTTGTGACGATGTATGTTCCTCCGTCAAAATTGATCATGATTCAAGACCTCTAGATAAGAATCCGTCAGCTAACAGATACCTGACCCTTTGCCAGACTAAAGTTAGGCAGCTAAAGTTTATTGAACAAGGTGCATGAACGTTGGTATGTGCCGCAATTCACCCATGCGGAAAGGAAAATAAGCTTCGCAAGTATTTTAGTGAGCACGAGGCTTACAACTAAACCTGCAATGCAACCTTCAATACAGCTTACAATGCATAGACTGATACAATCGCGTGCTCATATTACGAGTGGAAACCAGGGATCAGAATGGGTGTACAACGGTCGATATAATGCTGCAAGTAAGATTGCTAATGAACTCAAGGAAAGGTGGCAAATTTCTTGCCAGCCTCTATCTTAATTTATTACCGTCAAGATCTTAGATATTAAGCTATGTGAAATCCGCAATCTTCCTTTACAAACCTCCAGATACTACCACGATGGCTGAAACAAAGCTCCCCGATACCATTTCAAGTTTCGGTGAATTTCTACGCAGCTCTGTAGATGGTCCCGGGACGAATGCTTTGTTTGGCTCAAATTTATGGAACACAAGGAACTATTCGACCCTGACACCATTGTATCTCATCATTTCACTATGGATTATCTACAGTACTGGTCTTGCAGCATATCGATGTATGTAACTTGAGGACCTGGCAGATTTTAGTGAACAATCTCATTGACAATTTTCTCGAAGTAACATTATCTCCCATCGCCAAGATACCGGGACCAAAGATAGCAGGTAAGACTCTTCGAATTCCTTAACGACTGTTGTAAACTAACGCTTTGATTTCCTCTGTCACAAGCTGTGACATTTTGGTATGAGATGTATTACGACATTTGGCTTGGAGGGACATATTACCGAAAGATCGACGAGATGCATAAGAAATATGGTATATTTCCCACACTGTTCATATTGCAACTTACTGACATGGGAGTTTCAGGCCCTATTGTCCGTATCAATCCCTATGAAGTTCACTTAAATGACCCGGATTTTATCGATTCTGTCTTTCCTGGACCTGGGAGACAAACTGACAAATATTTCTTCACTGGTAGAAGAACAGGAAGTAAGAATCGAAGAAGATTCAACCACTTCGCGCAAAGTTTCATTTAAGCTTCCCAAGCTGACTTTTTTGGTTTCATCACAGCTCAAAACTCCATCGTTGCAACCATCGATCATGATATGCACCGCAAAAGACGCAACACAATCACTAATTTCTTTTCAAATGCTAGTATTCGTAGACTAGAGCCTGTCATGAAAGAACACATCAATACTCTTCTATCTAGAATGCAAGGTGCTGGAACGAAGGAGCAAGTCTTACCAATGCATTTTGTGTTCCGGGCTTGTACCAGCGATCTTATCACTCAGTATGCTTTTGGAGAATCTTTCCATTTCTTAGAACAGGAAGATTTTTCCATGCCTTACATGGAATCTACCGATGTTTTCTTTAAACTCAATCATACCTTCTGTCACTTTCCCTGGGTTGGTACGTTGCTCGCATCGGCACCACCTTGGGCTATCAAAACCTTTATTCCATCTTTGACCGAAATGTGGGATAAGGCAGCTGTGAGTTGCTCAATAATTTAAAACATTCTAGCGTACTGATCTCAAGTATATCAGATGTGGATAGAACGTGTCGATGAAGTTAGAAATTCTCCAAATCCTGAAAAAATCAAGACTACGATTTTTGAAGGCGTATTGAGTAGTAAACTTCCCGATGAGGAAAAGACCAATCTGAGGCTAGCACATGAAGCACAGTTGGTTGTATTTGCAGGAGAAGGTACAACAGGTATGTGTCAAACATATATTACAATAGAATCTTTAGAGCTAGGGAATCTAGCTAACATCAACACAGCCTATACGCTTCAATCTGCTCTCTTTCAGCTACTCGCCAATCCCAAGGAATTTGAGAAGGTAAAGGAAGAGATAAATGCAGCTATTCCAAATTCAGATAGCCTCCCATCTTTCTCTGAGGTGGAAAGCCTACCATACCTGAACGCAGTGATTCAAGAGACAATTCGCATTCATCCCGGCGTTGTCTCACGCTTGCCACGAGTCTCTCCCAAAACTCCGACTTTGTACCATGACAAGAAAAACGACAAAGATTATATCATTCCAGCCGGTACCTCGACGAACATGACTGCTCAAATTGCACACATGAATGCAGATGTTTTTGAAAATCCATACGAGTTTAGTCCACAGAGGTGGATTGACAATCCAAGACTCGACAAGGCCTTTATTGGTTTTGCTCGAGGTACGAGGAATTGCATTGGGTATGTCAAAATTTATGGAACATGATTAAGTATGAATTAACTAAAACGTGTGTGTAAAAACAGAATGAACTTTGCACGTCTCGAAATGTCCCTAGTTCTTGCGGCTATTATTCAGAAGTATGAGATTTATCGCGGACAAGACGGACCGACGTTGGAGCTATTTGACACGCTCCGTGAAAGAGACATTGATTTAAATCACGATTATATTATACCTTTCCCCGCAAAAGGCAGTCCAGGCTTACGCGTTAAGATAAGAAATTAGACAGTATCCAAATTATTCTGGGGGAAGAACGGTTGCTGATTTGCAAATGAGAAGAAATGGGGTTTGAGGATAGGCGAGAATAGTCTAGATAGTTTTCTTGGGAGAATTTAGAATGAATTCCACGCACAAGAGTAGAATCAACGTGTTCAAAATATGAATCAAAAGCTTGCATAAAATAGGCAAGCTATTCATAAAATTCGAGTAATATCATTTTTTGGCAAGGACCTAGCGGGAAAAAGTTCGAACAGCTTTGCTGATTGATCTCTCAAAGATGGGTGGACCTACACTAGCTACTTTGCAAGTAACTGACTTAACACTTCTTATGATATGGTGATATGAAATGTGTCCTGCTTTAGCTCTTGTCGACTTGCGACTCTTCATGTGACCTCAACTATGTCCTTTTAAGTCTCTTGGCACAATTGCGGCTTTAGAGTGGTAATTGGCAAGATGGGAATGTTCAAATTCTTCCAAGACGTGACACATGTGGAGTATTAATCCCTGACATGTCTTTGAAAGACATGTCTCGCCACGATATTTGCTCTTAGCTGACCGATGAGCGGGGATTAACTTTAACTTCCCAGGGTGACTATGAATCCAGAGCTGATTTTGAATGTAGAATAGAGTCCTCATCGGGTTTTCAAAAATTGTCGAAGCATGTAAAATGCCTAGCATCTATGAAACACTTTTGAGAAGAATATAAATTTCGTGTCCTTAGGATCGCACGCGAGGCAGAGTCTGACAGTATCGATAGAAGATGATACCAACAGCGATAGTCTACAAACTGAACTGTTCGAAGCCGTCTGACAGAGTTTCAATATGGGAATTTGATTTGGTTGAAGTACACGTTTTCGCTTCTATACTTAATCTAGCATACATTGTGAATGGCTACCAGAAGACCACCTCTACCAAGGGAGAACCTCGCCATCCCACTTATATAACTTTCCTCCGTGGGTCTCTCTGGTGCTCTCGGCTATGACCTTGTCCAATCCAGCAGCACATTCTGCGACTCCCAGAGGAGCTGCATCGAAGCCAAAGTGGTTAGCACCGATATTTCCCAGGTCGGTTTGGACCCATCTAGATAGCATGTTAGCAGGATTCAAAGACGAAGATAATTTCCCACTACGGGAACCATGAGATAAAATTTACCCGGGATCAATAGGGAAAGCTATAAGAGTTGGCTCTTCACGATGAATAGCTTTTGTAAGCCAATGCATAGATACTTTAGAAGGCGCGTAGGCCGAATTCGGCATATCTAATTGGTTCCTGTAAGATGTCAATACAGATTATTCTTTCTGATCACTCGTGGTTAATCTTGAAGAAAAGGATCAATTACTATATGGAACATTGTTAGTCAACAATTACAATGGTGAACTGAGATTTGAGAACAGAATTACCGTGAGATATCCAGCGGAAGAACCAATGGAGATAAATTTTCCGAGTTTGGACTTCTTCAATAACGGTAGTGTAGCTTGATACAGCCAAATAAAGCCATGTACATTTGGAACAAAATGGCCTTGAATATCTTCGGCCTTTACTTCCGAAACTTTGGGCCAAGCGTAGCAAACGCCAGCATTCGCAATCACAATATCAATATGATCAATACCCTGGGATTCCAATTGTTTCACAGCCTCGAGGGCATCTGTGGAGACAGTAGCATCAACTTTGACCAGGACAAGGGACGAGCCTTCAGCCGTGGGCAAATCAGCGAGGGCTTTGGAGGAAGGATGGTTTGGATCGCGGTTTGCGGCAATAACAGTGTGGTTCGGCTTAGAAAGATAAAGTTCGAGAATTCCCTTGCCAATGCCTCTGTTGGCGCCGGAAATGAGAACAATAGTTGGTGCCATGATGACTTAGTATTGGATTGAAAATTATGCAAGAGACTAAGTTATGAGAAAGAAGCGATTGTCAATCTGATTGTCGATGTCGAATCGCAATTCAAAAAGTCGTAGAAGCATCTTTATATCAATAAAATTTCCACGGTGGCAGCTTTCAATCAAGTGTTACAAATGCAAGCGGAATAAGAAATGTGTGGTATTACTCTGCATACTCTGGAAGACTGATGCCATCGTCTTGAGTGCTTGATTCCCGCTTGTGTATTACCAATTTAGTTCAAGAAGTGGTGATAAAAGCCATGATGACAAACACCACGAAGGAGGTCATATTGGAACGGGAATGCCAGGTACGGATCGACGGGATAAGCTTCATGCAAGGTCAGCAAGTTGCATATAAACGCTCGGTAACATGGGTTAGGGATTACCTGGGAATAATTGTGGGGTTAGCGAGTCGGCTAGTCATGCAAAGTAAGCAATTCGCCGCGTTTATGCTCACCTTGCATCATGCGTACCCGACGGGATTGGCTATCGAAATTACTTTGTCATCTTCCGCGGAGTCTAAGCACTACTGGTATGTCAAATATACAGTGCGACGATTTCATTAAACCTTTTCTTGCACAAAGTTTTAGGAGGAAGGATTTGATCCCAGATCGATTAGCTCTTCACGATATCCTCCTACACGTAAACCTTCAACGAGATTTTGCCGATAGTGATTGCGAATGGCACGACACTTCACCTCGTAATCGTTATCGGTGCGAAAGAGGACTGAGCAATATGGAATATGGATCGGTACCTGATCCTTCAAGTCAAACTCTATACGCAATTTAACAATGTTCTTAGGGCTGACACTTGCTCACACGATGGACAATAGAACTTACGAAATCTTGTGTAGAAGCGGTGACGATTAGAGTTTGGCAGGGAGAAACGAATTATCATAAATATGACGGCAAGACTTAAGATTTCACTCCTGTGGATTATCGATCCGAATGATTTAGTGAGGTGCTTTCTCCTTCCGTCTATCACCAATTTCTGAATCAGAGACAATGTTTGTATATTCATCGTTTGTTGTGGCCGCAACTGCGGCTTTTTTCGGATTTCCAACCGTGACTGCCGCGCCAGCAAAGAGATCTGATGGATTTCTTGAGCCAAGAAGTAACTGTCACTACCTCCCAGCCGATCTTCAATGGCCTAGTCTTGCAAATTGGCAACAATTGAACCAATCTATCAATGGGAGACTCATTCTCGGAAAACCTTTGGCTCAAAGCTGCCACAATTCCGACTATGACTTGGCCGAATGCACCGAGATAGAAGATATTTGGACAGCACCACTCACATAGTAAGTCCTGATTCGTTTCCCAAACTCGACGTATATTTTGCTCAGAAACTTGAAGCTAATTCGGACATAAAGTTTCACGGATCCAGTCAATATTATGGCACCATACTGGCTGAATGATTCTTGCAGTCCTTTTACTTCTATAAATGCGACATGCAATCTGGGAAATATTGCTTCTTATGCCATCAATGTCAGCAGCGCTGCTGACGTTATTGCCGGTTTGAAATTTGCAGCAGAGAACAAGATACGAATCACAATTAAGAATACTGGCCATGACTACATTGGTAGGTCCAACGGCGAAGGATCCCTCGCACTATGGACGCATAACCTCAAAGATATTTCGTTTCTCGATTATACCAGCACCAATTACACTGGTCCTGCGGTCAAGGTTGGAGCTGGAGTTCAGTTCTTTGAAGCTTACAAAATTGCTGCTGAGAACGGTCTGCGAGTTGTGGGTGGCTTTTGCCCAACCGTAGGCATGGCTGGTGGATATGTGCAAGGTGGCGGCCATGGTCCTCTCGGAGCGACGTACGGTCTCAGCGCAGACAATGCATTAGAATATGAAGTTGTGACCGCTGATGGTCGCCATCTCATCGCTACTCCTACGGAAAACTCGGATCTTTACTGGGCACTTAGCGGTGGCGGAGGAGGCACATACGCCGTGGTAATCTCGTTGACTACGAAAGCTCACCCCGACGGTATAGTTGCAGGTGGATCATTTACCATCAACAATACTGGTGATGCGAGGTACTGGTCTGCAATTGAAGCTTGGCAAAAGCACCTTTTGGTTCTAGACCAGATACCAGGCTTTACCACCGTTTGGGGCTTCACGAGCGATGCATTCAACCTTGCATTTGCTACATTGCCGGGTGGAGATGCCTCGACGATGGCCGAAGCATTAGCTTCGTATAAAGAAGAGATCCAAGCGATGAACATAACATTTGCAGCATACGAAACAAGTGACAGGCCAAATTTCTACGACCACTACGAGCATTACACCGGAAGTCTCCCATATGGACCTTATACGACAAATGATATTATCGGAGGACGCCTGATTCCCCGCTCGACCATCCAGAACAATGTCACTAATTTGATTTCTGTTTTTAAAGACATTATCAGCACGACCGGAATTCCCGCAACATCTTTACGCATCAACGGAATAGCCGCTAACGTGACACATTCTCGCGTTGGGAACCATGTGGGCTCCAATGCTGTTCTTCCCGCATGGCGCGATTCTCTCTATTGGCTAAATGTTGACGTTGGCATCGATGCAGCAGCTTCAAGAGAGACAATACATCAAATTCAAGCGCAGGTAAATGCATTTCAAGATCAATTCAAAGTCCTGACCCCTGGTGGTGGATCGTATATGAATGAGGCAACTTTTGACAATCCAACATGGAAGGAGGATTACTACGGTGAAAATTACGATCAATTGCTGGACGTGAAGTTGTCTTATGATCCAAATTCTATTTTGTATGCTCATACGTCTGTTGGGAGTGATCTGGTGACTGTAGCTTCGGATGGGAGATTGTGTAAAGACTGATGGGCATATCAGAACACTCGCGTTGGAATAATTAGATAGAAAGTGGCGCACTGCCCTAATTTTAAGACAAACGAACGATATAATGGTACTTTAATCAATACTAAATAGATATCCTCTTTTATTGGAGGCACAGTGGGTAGTGATGTGTTATCCCGAAGAACATTCCTCGGAAGTGTCGAGAGAAGAGATGAAGATTTTTGCAAGAACGAGTAAATTCCCAGGACTGCGAGGAATTTTCCACAAGCTACCTACTGATCAGTGACTACATGAGTATGCAAGCACTTTTCATACATCATGCGGCACAACAGTCCAAGGTGTTCAATGGTCCGGACTGATAGACTAAAAGAGCTTCCATTTCTGAAGCGAATTTAATATTCAAAACTATTTAACATAGCCAATGAGATTCAGAACCCGAATACCTTTGGCTATTTCCCTGCAAACCAGACATGGAAAACTCTATGGGTGTCGAACTCTCGACCCCACACAAGAAAAGGAGAATAGAACTAGTAGTATTTCACCCCAGGATGAGGCTTGTGTGGGTTATTTTTATGAAATTTCTCCACAAGTTCCTGAGCACCTTCAAAATTATCCGCCGAATAATATTGATGATCATCTTGCTTATGTCCAACCCATTTAGCCTTGTAACTAACCAAGCCGTTGACCCATTTAGAATCCAAAATTTCCTCAACCTCATACAATTCCTCAGAGGCCTCCGCCCTCGTTCCAGATGAAACTTCTCCTTTTTTGTTATTCTCTGCCTCGACTTTCTCATAGTAGTTGGTTGGATACGTCAAAGGACTAACGAAAGATGCAAGAGTCCTTACTTTTCTTTTGGTTCTTTCCATCTCCATTATCTCCGCGCGAGCATTGTCAATAACGCCTTTCATGGCGAGAAGAATGGCAAGTCTTACTTCCTCAGAAAGTTGATCAAGTGTTTTTTGGAATGATGTTACCCCCCAGTCCCAAATTATCGCATCGATAAAAAGCTTGCGGATCAAATCCCCCTCTCTCGTATTCTCCCAAACATACTGGACATTCTCCGACTCGGTTAGGAATTCCTTTGCCTCATCGCCCATAAGAGAGAGCTTCTCGATGCATTCATTCTTAAGAGTCGGTACCTTAATCATATCCGCAAAGACATAAAGTCGTAAAAAGGTACCAAAAAGAATTTTATAGTCATGGTAAGCTTTCGACTTATTATCTAAGAGCGCGGGCTCAATTGCGTCTTCTTCAGGTTCGCCGATTTGTTGCGTGTATAGCCATTGGAAAAATAACTCGAAAACTTCAACATCGACATCGGCAAGTTTGATGATGCCAGTGGTAGTTTCTTCAAAGCCGGAAGTAAATGCAGCTTTGAAAAATGGGGAGCAGTGGCAGATAAGGCTTTTGTGTACACCGAAATCCTGTAGGTCTTTTCCGACTTTGGCATGCACGACCTCGCGTCCAATGGAACTGGAAACTTATTAGATTTGTCTTGGTATTGTGTTGATGGCGATATGACCCGTGTGCATCATGTAAAATAAGGAAATATCGACAGGAAGACCTACTTGATTACCATTCTTGTGTATTTATTTCCTTTCATCTTAAATGAAAATTTGACCCGTCTTGGAATGGGCAGATTAGAGTGAATTGTTGATGTAATTGAGATGGGAAGTCCAAGATATTCTTTCAATGAAGTACCAAAAATTTGGTTTAAGTATAAACAGAAATGAAGAAGGTAGTTGCTTCAGGATCACTTGTTCCAGATCGCTCTCGGCCTCGAAGGTCGTACGCTCAGAATAGTGTGTGTGTGTGTTTGGAAGAATCGTATTTCGAGATATAACTTGCTCGAAACAGAGCTAAGAACCGAGAGGTACCTATAAACTTCTCCCGGAGTGTGAGGATGCATAAAATGATGTCGATTTGAAGGGATCAATGGTGAGGACTTGCGAAACTGTGAGGAATAGGCATGTTTTGAAATCTGGCACAAAATCATCATACCGAGGTGTTTGCAGAGGGATTTTATGTCTTCGCAACTTTGCAACAATTGCACAGTAGCTTAGAACTAATTTTATAAGATCAACTAGACTCAAAGAGGAGAACTGACTAAGTTCGCTTTCTTGATGGCCAGAACATGTGCTTACATTCATGTTTTGAATGACAATTCCTAAAGATTCATCAACAGCCGACAAAGTGTGCACCCTCCTCAAAAGCCATATATTCCAGAAACAAGTAAAGAAAAGCTCGACTCCAGTACCAGCATAAGTTTATCCTTTGCGCATGCTCAGAATTTGAGAATGTGTAAGAGTGCGTGATATTATGCGAGTTCCCCGAAAATGTAGAAGCCTAAGAGGTTTGTATGAAGTAGGTTTAAACAAGGTGCATGATGCGCTTTTGATGATACTATAAAAGTTACAAGAAGGGATGAGACACATTTTTTGACTCCATTGTAGGACAATACTCGAATATACCAGTTTCGAGACAAGCTGCCAGAACTTCCCAATATGCGCAAGATCCTTCACCCAGCCACAATGACTTGTCACCATTCGGTGCAAAGTCCGGTGCAGAATTCAAGTAGCAATAGGAAACAAGACTTTTTGTTCCGATATTGCAAGCAGGACTCTTTCGTCGCATCTTCATGTGATTCTTCTACTCCTTGCTATTGCACAGTAGACAATCCCTTCACACTAGATGCAAAATCAGTTTCAAATATCCACAACTTGCCTTGAATATGAATGAAGACTGATAGACATGCACTTCAAAATCAGATACTCCAGTCCCCGTAGGACAATGGATAAATGTAAACCACAAAGGCACAGAAAGTTGGAATATAACTGAGATTTGTGTGGTTGCATTAGTAGGAGTTAATGTTGGCGGCACTCAAATTGTAGACATTGATTTAATGGTGTGTCGTGAGAAGGAAAGTTGTGTATTGGGAAGGCACGGTGAGAGGCGCCTTCTTCAAGATATCACATGATGAGACCCATTTGATTGGAAGGCTGAATTAGAAATCAATTGTAAAAAAGAATTTGTGTAAGATGTCCCACGATTGCCTCGAGACGACCCGTAATGATAGTGATTCTGATTTTGAGCACTGCCAAATCCCCGTCTACTAATTTGCACGTTGATTGAACTGTGCTCCGTAACCAACGGTAATCACAAATCATGAGATTGGACGGTATATTGCAGAATAAATTGGCCATAACCTGACCTGTATTTCTTAACTTGGTGGAATTATACAGCTTTCGATCTTGTGGTAGAATTCCTAGATACCAAAAAACCAAAGATATAGTTCGGGCCATTCAATGCACTGCTGCAAATCAAAATCCAGCTGACATGCCTAGATAAACATACCATCTTTCTCCTTATCGACATTTATGAAATAGTTTTCGATATTCCACAAAAGATTGCTTTATGCACCCCCAGTTTCATGAACAGCAGCTCTAAAATATTTTCTCATGGTGGAGTAAACTTTATCCAGAACGAGAGTCGGTATGGGATTGGGTACAAAGAGGCTGAATTCTGGAGCCGTTTCCCATACCATCATGTCGACTATGAGTTTGCGAAGTCTGTCATGTTCCATTGTGTTTCCCAAATATATTCTATGAGCTCGACAGGGACACGCCTTCTCAAGTTCACGATTTCATGAAACTTACCGATGCAATAGTTCTGGAGTACGGGAATCTGTGTCATGCCAGAAAATACGTAGAGCTTTGAAAGCAGTTTCAGTTGCTTTTTACAAAACAAATGCAAAGGGCAACTATTGTTATACGTAAATCCAAGCCGGCTGTTCGAGTCTCTACCACAGGCGCTGTTAACGTAATATGTATCTTCCTGGTTTCAAAAAGCTCAAACGCTATGATTCTCTCCACCAGTGCGTGTACAGACTGACGGGACACTGCAGGAATGAACTTGTGAATATCTCTTGATATATCAAATTCTATATCTTAAGAATTCTTCAAATTATTCACTAGAAATAAAACAATCAAAAGATAACTTTTAGTATCAAATGATTGAAAAACAAATTTGTTCAAAATTTCGAACGTTGGGAGGTGTCCCGTCAATACATGCACCCACTGTGCTCCCAATTTCCTCGTGATACGGACCTTAGAACTCGATTTGGTTGGGTCCCCAAAGGCAAATGTAATAAAGTCCTGACTATACAGCCAATGATAGAATAATTCGAAAACTTCCACTTTGACTTCCGGAAATTTTATAATCCCAGTTGAAATTTCCTCAAGCCCTGAGTATAAAGCAGCTTTAAAGTATGGTGAATGATGACAAGCAAGATACTTGTGGACACCGAAATTCTTGAGGTTCTTTCCAACGTGGATGTGAATCATGGCATAGCTAAGAAGTCCATACTCAATCAGCGAGTATCCAAAGATGAAGAAGGAACACTTACCTGTTCAACTTCTCAGGCATCGTTGCAGACATATTGAAGTGGAGGTTATCTTCGATATAGAAGTACCAGTAAGTTGACCTTTAGTATTTTCGAGACTTCTTTTAGCGAATACCGGCCTAACGAAGCACTAGGCAGGCAGTGTGTGTTTCTTGATCGACAGAAGTTTGGTAATCGATCTTGGCATGAAACTTTCTTCTACGGGGCCGTAGAGATCAAAATGAGCGCAGATTGGTGACTAGGAGGGAAAAAGGAATTTGAGCATAACTTCCTAGGTACCTTACTTAGATACGGAGAAAGCACGAAAGATGGAGAGATGCAGCGAACAATGCCCAGCTTCCCACAATCGCCACACGTTTTCTTCTGGGTTTCTTGGATTGAACAGGTGACTGGAAAATATAAAGAAAGCAAAGGAATCACAGACTCGACATTGGTGAATATCCGTTTACCAGATAACACAGCAATGCAGAATGGATATCAGGTGTCTGAAGTGGATAGGAACCTTGAGGTTAAAATAAGTGAGAAGGGTGAAAAGATCTACCCCTCCCGAGTCTTGTTGGAAGTTGGATATGGCTGATAACCTCATTCACTTACCACCTGAGATATATGATGGCTATTTGATGTCTAGGTTCGAAAATCCATGTTTTCACTTGCGCTTGCAATTACCAAGGTGTGATACGCCCACCCACGTGATGTTATTGATGGCCCATTGTATGTTGAAAGTTTGAGGCAGCTCACTCTTAGATATCATGGTCAACCAAGTGTTCTGGATACTGCTTGGTAATACGTAGGTAGGGACAAATGGCAAACAGGAATGGCAGTGAAGACATTGAAGGGTTGTTCAGCTTCTGCTCACTCTCATAATCTTGTTGTCTAGCTACCAAAAGGATATAGAAATGATTTGAGATGGTAAACGGACAAGTATATGTGTATGGATGTAATAAAAAATCTTGTAATAATACCTACTTGGGTACTAGGTAGTAATTTCAAGTATAATAATTGTAACAAATTACCGTATATACTTAAAATTCAGTTAAAACCCGTAAATTGACTTTCCCAAGTGAAGTCTGAAGTGACGTTTGAAGTGAGGTTTGATGTCAGCAAAGTGTGGCTCCCAAATCAAGCTGAAGGTGACAGGGATGTTGTCTTCCTTAGGTTTCCAATTTGGTTGTGAGCCGCGCGAAAGAGATTCACTCAACTTCAATCATCGAAAAAGGTACTTCCCTCCTCAACCAAAACCTTACTACATACCACCTTCCTTTACCCCCTTTAATTAATCTCCTCCATCGTACCTACTTGTTTCGACGAAGAAAGCGCATAGAATAATTCACCTCTTTACGCCTTCCTTATCGAACTGTGAATCACCACGATCTTGTGAATTATGGCCAATTCTGTGAGTGGAATACCATTTCAAACATAATCGTCAATCCTGCAGTCTCTTTCCAACTTCCTCTACTCCTTTACTGTCTCATTCGATCGAAAATGGCTCTACCAAGCTCTTTCATTGCCGGGAGACGACCCACTTACTCTTCCGTTTTTCAGAAGTTTCCAGTACATCCCAAGCTAACAGATCCAATGTTTCAGCAACGACTCCCTCCCCAACAACCTAGCTATAACCAAGCTTATATGCCAAATGGTGCTGTAGCAGGTCACACTGGTATCCCGCCTGGAGCTACTCCTTTACTCCCAAACAACGGTAGAATCATACAAACTGGAGGTGTGAGAGTTTTGTGTGTGGCAGACGTACGAGGTGAGCTTGACCTGAAGATTTGGCTTTTCAGGCAACGCTGACAACTCGGAAGGAAATTTAAGATCACTCAATGAACTCGCAAAGCAAGCACGCGCAGATCACATTATTCATACAGGAGATTTCGGTTTTTATGATGACACCTCTCTCGATCGCATTGCAGAAAAGTGAGCTCAGCATCCAGCTCAGCACTATAGATCATCCACTAACAAAATTCAATAGAACCCTCAAACATGTTGCTCAATACTCTCCCTTGATTACAGAAGCTACGAAAAAGGCAATCGCAGCACCGGGCGGCCCAGTGAAGTCGAGATTCAGTCCTGGCGACCTTCCACTTTCCGAATTACCACAGTTCCTTAATGGCAGTCTGAAGCTTGATGTACCAGTCTACACTGTCTGGGGTGCATGTGAAGATGTGCGAGTCCTCGAAAAATTCAGATCGGGCGAATACAAG